AGACAGAGAGACAGAAAGCGAGAAATCACCCCCCAGAGGGGATGGTCACGCCACAATCCCTTCTCCTCCATTCTCCTCTTGGGATCTTGGGCACGCACACACACGCACCCGGCGTGAGTTTTAAGCCACCGGGTCCGGGATGCGAACCGCGGTTGACTACGTGGGAGTCCAGTGACATAGCCATTACGCTAACTGCTGGTTCCCGACTTTTCCATTCTTCTCAATTGCTTGGACTAAGTCTGAAGCTTTGTCTTCAAAGTCAGAAATTTTTTTTCTTCTGTGGTTTAAGTTTTCTTCTGCATGGTTTACTCTGCTGGCAAGGGAAGTTTTGATTTTCTGTATTGTATTCTTTACCTCCAGAACTTCTGTTTGATTATTTTCAGGGTGTTTATCTCTTTATAGAGTTCCTCCTTCATGTCAAGGAAAGATTTTTCTTATCTCCTAGAATTGGTTGTCTGTTTTCTCTTGCATCTGACTGAGTTTAGTTACGATAAATATTCTGAATTCTTTTTCTGACATTTTTTTTTCACTTTTTTTTTTCTTTTTTGGAGAGATTTTCGCTATAGGGCGCGTGCACTCGCCAGACAGACGGAGAGAGACATAGAGACAAAAAGCGAGAAATCACCCCCCCGGGGGGATGGTCACGCTGCAATCCCTTCTCCTCCATTCTCCTCTCGGGATCTTGGGCACGCACGCGCCCGGCGTGAGTTTTAAGCCACCGGGTCCGGGACGCGAACCACAGTCAACTACGTGGGAGTCCAGCGACATAGCCATTACGCTAACTGCTGGTTCCCTTTTTCTGACATTTCTGTGATATCTTGTGTCTTATCCATTGTTGATGAGGAATTATTGTGTTTCTTTAGGGGAAAGTATTTCCTGGCTTTCTCATATTTCTTGAGGTTCTGCTGTGATTTTTAGTCATCTGATAACTATTTGACTTTGGGCTTTTTTTTAAAGTGGTTTTCGCCTTAGGCACACAACACACACTTACCAGAGAGAGACAGGGACAATGAAAGGGAAAGTGAGAAATCACCCCCTCAAGGGCAATGGCCACACCTCAGTCCCTTCTTCTCCATTCTCCTCCATTCTCCTCCCAGGATCTTGGGCACACACACAGGTGCCTGGCTTGAGTTTCAAGCCATTGGGTCTGGGATTTGAACTGCAGGTGGCTCTGTGGGAGTCCAGCAACATAACTGCTGCTCCATCTGCTGTCCCACACTTGGGCTACTTCTTTGGAGCAGCTTTCTGTGGGTGTGTGCTCATGTGCTCCCCTGTGGTCTTAGTTTAGCTTTGTGTCGAGTTTCCCTCATCTACTGTGGGTGGCAGTGTGGTATCCACAGTGGGAGTTTGGAGTTCAGATTCAGAGAGCAATTTCTCTCCTCCGTCTGCTGCAGAGTTCTTCCAGAGCCTCGCTGTGTTCATCTGTTTGGCTCCTATATATCCAGACCTCTCTAGGCCCAGCGGGGTGCTGGGCTGGCCCATTTCAACTCTTAATCACACATGCTTTGACTGGCTTAGTGTCATATTTGCTCTCTACGAAGTGACACATTCCTTGGGTGCAAGATCTTGCCTTTGTTTTTTCTCTGCTGCTTTGCATTACTCATTGCATTAAATATATAAGAATTGAATATAAGCTAACTTTTGATTTTTTAGTTTCAAGAAAACTGGTTAGAGTACTGTCAACATTTTTTCTTCTGTATTGGCCTATAAATCAGTGCATTTAATTCACAAATTATCTAGGTTTACACTGAAATTGCTAAAACTTCAGTCTACCATTTTTTTGTATTCTCTCTCCTTTTTCTCTTTTAGGGCATCGTCTTTAATCTTGAGTCAGAGGAGGAAGAATATTCTGGAATCATTGCAGAAGATAGCAATGACATTTATATCCTGCCCAGTGACAACTCTGGACAAGTCAGTCCTCCAGAGTCTCCAACTGTGACCACTTCGTGGCAATCAGAGAGCTTACCTGTCTCACTTTCAGCCAGCCAGAGTTGGCACACTGAAAGCCTACCAGTGTCCCTAGGTCCCGAGTCCTGGCAGCAAATTGCAATGGAATCTGAAGAAGTCAAAAGCTTAGACAGCAACGGAGCTGGAGAGAAGAGCGAGAACAACTCTTCTAATTCTGACATCGTGCACGTGGAGAAAGAAGAGATACCGGAGGGCACGGAAGAGGCTGCTGTGACTGCTGAAGCCTCAGTGAGCGGGGGGCCACAAGAAGCATTTCCCGAAGCCCCGGCCCCCTTGCTTCCACCCGTCACTGCCACTCCCTTGCTGGAGATGAGGGAGCCCCCTGCACTGATGCTTGCTCCTGAGGAAGCCAGTCCTGCTTCGTCTTTGTTTGTGGGACTTGATGAAGAAGAGGGAAAACCAGCAACAACTGAAGTGGAAGAAGAAGTGGTCCCTGCACTGGAACCCACAAAAACACTGCTGAGTGAAAAGGAGACAAATGCAGGGCAAGGAAGTCTTACAGAAGAGGCCTCCCCTGCTGGAGAGGGGAAGGTCATCCCTCTGCCCGAGGGCAAGTCGATGCTGCTGTTCGGAGGGGCTGCCGCTGTTGCCATCCTGGCAGTGGCTGTCGGAGTGGCATTGGCTCTGAGAAAGAAATAGCAGATTTTTCAGAAGGGAATGGAGACAAAAAGGGTCTATGGTATTGGCTGGAATTTGACCTGCCAGCAGCTGATTGGACATTTGGACAACACTGGGGTACCTGGGGCTCTGCTCAGCAAGGCAGTGGGCCGATCCCCGGGTGAGGGCTTGAGGAAGAGGGTGTTCACATTGGTCTCAGTCTAAGTCCCCAGGGCCTTGGCTCATAGTAGATTCAGAACCTTAGGAGTAAAATGCTCCCTCTAGGACAGGGACTCTAGTCCTTGACGTTACTGCTCTCCGGTCACTCTGTTGTAGGAGGCCATCCTTGGTATTCTAGGGTGTTCGGCAACCTTCCTGGTCTCTACCCACTAGGTGCCAGCAGCACCCCCTCCCAGCGATAACAGCCCAAAGTGACCCCATTGCCAAATGTCCCCTGTGTGCAGAATCGCCCCATTGAGAGCACTGCTTTAGAGGGACAGGGTTAGTGAGGATCTGGGGTGGGAATTGCCATCCAGGGGGCTTGACTGGCTTTCCAGCCTGACCCGGCTGTTCATCCCCTTGGAGTTTCCTCTTCCTGATGAGCAGGCCGTGTTCCGCAGTCCCTCCTGTCTGCTCGTCTTTCCCTCCCCTGTCCTAGTGGGTGGGTGCTTCCCACAGCTCAGCTGCCTCTCAGGTACTGCACTGCCCCTTCCTCACCCAGGCCCCCAAGACCCCACAGGAGAGCTTGTTCTGTCCTGTCAGACCCGCAGGGCTCAGGGCGTCCTGCAGTTCCACCTTGTAGAGATGCTGCCTTTAGGAATCTTTAAGAAAAAAAACACACATAGAAGAGACATAGAGGTCCCCACCTCTGGGTGCAAGTACAAGAAATTGACTGGACAGGGAACCAGCAGTTGGCATAATGGCTATGTCGCTGGACTCCCACATAGTCGACCGCGGTTCGCGTCCCGGACCCGGTGGCTTAAAACTCACGCGGGGCGCACGTGCGTGCGTGCCCAAGATCCCGAGAGGAGAATGGAGGAGAAGGGATTGCGGCGTGACCATCCCCCCTGGGGGGTGATTTCTCGCTTTCTGTCTCTCTGTCTCTCTCTGTCTGTCTGGCAAGCACACGCGCCCTATGCAGCACCCCCTCCCAGCGATAACAGCCCAAAGTGACCCCATTGCCAAATGTCCCCTGTGTGCAGAATCGCCCCATTGAGAGCACTGCTTTAGAGGGACAGGGTTAGTGAGGATCTGGGGTGGGAATTGCCATCCAGGGGGCTTGACTGGCTTTCCAGCCTGACCCGGCTGTTCATCCCCTTGGAGTTTCCTCTTCCTGATGAGCAGGCCGTGTTCCGCAGTCCCTCCTGTCTGCTCGTCTTTCCCTCCCCTGTCCTAGTGGGTGGGTGCTTCCCACAGCTCAGCTGCCTCTCAGGTACTGCACTGCCCCTTCCTCACCCAGGCCCCCAAGACCCCACAGGAGAGCTTGTTCTGTCCTGTCAGACCCGCAGGGCTCAGGGCGTCCTGCAGTTCCACCTTGTAGAGATGCTGCCTTTAGGAATCTTTAAGAAAAAAAACACACATAGAAGAGACATAGAGGTCCCCACCTCTGGGTGCAAGTACAAGAAATTGACTGGACAGGGAACCAGCAGTTGGCATAATGGCTATGTCGCTGGACTCCCACATAGTCGACCGCGGTTCGCGTCCCGGACCCGGTGGCTTAAAACTCACGCGGGGCGCACGTGCGTGCGTGCCCAAGATCCCGAGAGGAGAATGGAGGAGAAGGGATTGCGGCGTGACCATCCCCCCTGGGGGGTGATTTCTCGCTTTCTGTCTCTCTGTCTCTCTCTGTCTGTCTGGCAAGCACACGCGCCCTATGGTGAAAAAAACCTCTCCAAAAAAAAAAAAACTGGCTGGACAGAGAGGTTTGTCTCAGCAAGAGGTAAGGATGGCCTCTGTGACTTAGACAGCCTCTTACTTGCGGAGGTCCCCTGGCCCCTGACCTGTGGTTATCTGCCATCGCCTCTGTGGTTGGTGGGCACTGTCTAGGACCTGGGCTGGAGAGACTTGCCAATACCTGACCTCAGGCTTGTTTTTGATAACCCAGCTCCTCTGCGGGCCTCTTGCTATGTAGTAAGGATTTTCCTGCTTAGGCTTACAGAGTCAATTGGAGTATCACTCTAATTAAATCCAAAAAAATCTCCTGAATATCGAAATAAAATGTGGGGGGAAAAAGCAGCGTAAATTTCAGACCGAGACTACCCTAGAGATTCAATTAGTTTGACTCTAAGAGTTCAAGAATGGAGGCTGCTTTGCCTAAACACTTCCCGGCCCAGTGCTGGTAATAAATCATGATGATCCTCATCAGCATATGCTAGTTGAGAATCAGGATGATTTTTGTCTCCTAGCTGAAGCCATCCATGAGTGGAACCGTGTGCTTTCATGCCTGGTATCACAGTGTCACTGCGCAGGAACACATGCTTGATTTAAAAAATCGGATTTATCATAGCAAATGTAACAAACTCCTTTTTTAGATCCGGAAATTTATAATAAAAATATTCTACCTACCCTGAACACCAAAACCTGACATTTTAAATGTGCTTCCTTTTAAAAAATTTCAGTTTCTTAAGAAAAGGTCTGCAGGTGTGTTTGTGTGTCTTTTAGAGCTGTGTCATGCAGTGTTATCTTCGTTCTACATTTTAGTGTCCCGTTTAAGGAATCGTGTTTTTAAGGGTTTGAGTTACCTCGTACGTAGTTAGAGGCGAGGGGAGGGGAGGTTAGTGGAGTAGCTGCTCCCCTCCGTGGGCTCTGGTAGTTACCCTGTAGTGCTCTGTGTTCCAGCACAGAATCTGCCATCTCTGCGTTTTCATAGTTAAGAGTAAACTAGTGAGTTATCTTGGTTTTGTTCTTAATAATATTTTCCATTCAGTGTTAATACTTTTAAACTTTAAAAGTGTCTTTCTCTTAATTTCTCATGTCTTCGTACACACTTAATTTTTTCTTTTGCCAGGGAGTGTGGGCATTCACCAGAGACAGAGAAAGTAGAAATCACCCCTCAAGAGTGGACAGCCATGCCGCAGTCCCTTCTCCTTCATTCTTCCCTTGGGATTTTGGGCACGCATGTATATGTGCCCAATGTGACTTTCAAGCCCTTGGGTCTGGGACTCGAACTGCAGAGCTGGCCATGTGGCATCCAGCACCCTAACCTCCATGCCACTAACTGTCCCTACGATTTTAAATGTTCAAAGTGTTGATACTCTGGACCCTCACATAAACACACTCGAGCAAAATCGAAGCCACGTTCACGTCCAGACTGCTGGAAGGAGCTAGCTTACGTGGGTTCCTTCTCCGCAGGGGAGCAGGAGGTGCGCTCCGGTTTCGCCAGTGTGACTGCCAGCCCGGAGTGATTGGCTGGCTGCGCTGTGCTGGGGAAGACCGTGACCTTTCCCTCCGAGCACCTCGTTGGAATCTCCCAGCAGCCATGTGTGGGTTCTTTCACTTCCTTGTCCTCCGCCTGCACCATGGAAGGGAGTAGCCCTGAAAACGGCCTCTTTCAGCAGCTGCCCTTTCCTGTTAGGTTGGTAAACGTTATTTCTCAAATCCCCCTTCCCTCTTTCTGGTTGGGGTGATAGGAGGCTATTCCTTACTGCCCCAACTTAATGTAACGTCAGTCTAAAGGAAAGGGCAGATGCAGAACTACCCCGTGTTTGCGGACTCCCATGTCAGCAGGAGGAGGAGCGCCTGTTCAGTCCTCGTTCTCTGCGCTGCTGGCCTTCTAGAACGCGTCTCGTTTTTCTGTTGAATGTAGTGATTTCTGATCACTTGGCAGAAAGCTATTGAAGGTTTCTGAGAAAATGCCAGAACTAAAGAATGCCGATTTATCCTCTCTGTGCGGAAGTGATGATTCTGGGCCCGGACTGCCGTCAATCCCTGCAGTGGGCCTTCGTGGCGCCCCCCAGAGGCCGCGCTAGATAAACAAGTGCAGCTAGTGGCTTAGTCTGTGCAGTCCCCACCGCAGGTCCCGGAAACCTCTGCTCGTGCCAGTCTCAGACCCAGTGCAGCCACTGCGTGCTTTGTCCCTGGGGCAGGGTGGGGCTGGCGGGGACTAAGTGGTGAGGCCAGAGCAAGGGCTCTGAGCCACAGCCACGTTCATTTCCTCAGGCTTTCTGCTGATTCCCCAGCTTCAGGGCAGGTTTTTCCCAGACGGCATGACAGACAGACAGATGTCCACATTCAACATTGGAATTTCTGGATTATTTTAAGGGATGTTTTATAGAATAAACGTTTTATAGGTAAGACATTTCCCCCTTCTCATTCCTTTCTTGTAAAATTAGGTCTTTTCACACAAATTTACCTTCCACAACTTGGGCAGTACACAGTCACCAAGACGGGGCCTGCAGGCTGCCCATCACTGACCGATTCAGGTCCTCCTCCCTCCGCCCGCCCACCCCGGCACCACTCCCTGAAGTCTCAGAGCACATGAGAGCGCAGAAAAAAGCCTCCTGTCTCTGGAAGACCGCGACGGGATGACCAGACGTGTGGTCGGCCTGGGCTCAGCCCATGTGACGAACCCTGGTGGGTTCCTTAAAACAGACTTAGTGTGCGCAGCTGTGATTCTAGCGAACGTGAGCAACTCGCAGCGTGCCCAGGTGGTTCTAGTGCTCCACGTGCATCGTCTTCCGTGCCCCGGTAGCCACACTCCCTGTCCCTGCTGCAGACAGGACTCCCCGCCTTCACCTCCCCGGTAGCCACACACCCTGTCCCTGCTGCAGACAGGACTCCTCTCCTTCGCCTCCCCGGTAGCCACACACCCTGAACCCGCTGCAGACAGGACCCCTCTCCTTCGCCTCCCCGGTAGCCACACACCCTGTCCCCGCTGCAGACAGGACCCCTCGCCTTCACCTCCCCGGTAGCCACACACCCTGTCCCCGCTGCAGACAGGACCCCTCGCCTTCACCTCCCCGGTAGCCACATACCCTGTCCCCGCTGCAGACAGGACCCCTCTCCTTTGTCTCCCCGGCAGCCACACACCCTGAACCCGCTGCAGACAGGACTCCCCGCCTTCACCTCCCCGGTAGCCACACACCCTGTCCCTGCTGCAGACAGGATTCCTCGCCTTCACCTCCAGAGACTTTGCGCACAGGAAAGGTGGCGATGCCTGGACTTTTGCAGGTTCCAAGTCTGGTTCTTTGTCCAGTCTTTACCGTTGTGTGACCCCAAAAGGCAGAATTGGCAGGCCCCGCGCACAGCGCCAGCGTGGACAGGGCCAACGGCAGGGTACACACGTGTGTGGCCTGTGCCCTGCCCACCGCGTGCCCTCGGGCTGCCCGGCAAAGTCCCGCATGGGCGGGTCTCGGTGTGGAGCATGTCCTGCCACAGAAAACGAGTGACTGTCGTGTCGGGGCTGGCCTAACTGCCAGGTGCCTTCCCTGTGAGTGCTGAGTGAGGCTGGAGCGCGGGAAGGACTTCTGCTGAGAATAAGGTCGTGCCCCTGACCAGGCAGCGCCACGCGGCGCCGAGCGCGGTCAGTGGAGGCAGCGCCATGGCACATTTCCTAATCCCTTCCCATTCGTCCCTCTCCCTGCTTGTGCCATCACCCAGGTGGGGACGGGGAGTGGAGTGCAGTGGGCGACACCCGCCAGCAGCATGGCCGCCCCAGGGTCAGCTGGCGCACCTGGGCACATCTTGCTCAGAGGCCGACGGACGGATGACTTCCCAGTGCAAACCCCCCACGGCCTTCACGCAGCGCCATGGCCGGCACAGCCTCGCTACGGAGTGCGATGGGCATCCAGAACAGTGAGGCGCAGCCACCCTGCGGCTCCCCATGGTTCGGACGCCATGCTACCCAAGTATTCATCCTTCCTGTCTTCCCCTTCATGCCAGCCCATTCAGCCCCAGCCTGGTTTGCCATGGCCCCGTGCGTTGAAACCATCAGGGTCCGTCGTGTGTTTGTGTTTACAAGAGCCCTAGCAAGACAGCTGCTCGCAGCGGCTCCGCTGGGACGCTCTCAGGGAGCTAGCTCCAAGGCCTGTAACAAGCAGAGAAGTAGCGGCCGGGTCAGGGGCACACTCTCTGTTCTCACCCTGCGGGGAGTTCTAGCAGTGTAGCTTCGCACCACTAAAAGAAACGGGTCAGTGAGTACACTGTGTAGAACAGAAGTCTGCCATTAAACACTGCCCTCCCCAGGAGAAGGAAGCTGGCGTGCAAGCTTGTTAGGTCTGGGTCTGGATGTCTGGGTTTTGCCCTGGCGATTTCCAGCCAGAGAAGTGTATTATGTAGATGGCCCGCCAAGAACGCCAAAGGAAAAGCTTCTTCCTAAACCGTTTTCTCCTGCTACTATAGACTTCCATTTCTTTCTTCCTGCAGATTAAAAGTGCCTCTTCCTAACTCATTTCTCAAACTCAGTTTATTACTGGTTCTAATGCTCTCATCTCAGAAAACGCTGGGATTAAGTGGTGATAAACGTGCATTTTACCTACACAGCATGTATTTCCACTTCCCGTATGGAGTTCATTGCTCTCTACTGCAGTTCTGATTGGCTCAATCTGTTACGGATTTATTCTGCCTCCTTTTCCATCCTGTTGTCTACCTTTTGGCCAGTCTACTCTTCTTCTTCAGGGGAAAGAAATGCAACTCAAGCCTATGAACTGTGCTGTTGGAAACAGTGTTGGGGAGAACACATTGCAGGTTGCAATAAAATGAAATTTGAAGATAATCTACGGACTCATCTTTCTGTTCCTATGGCAACCTTATGCCCTTGATTTAGGTGGGGTCATTTCAGATCATCTTTGTAGGCTCTTTTTGTTTTGGAGAGGTTTTTGCTATAGGGTGTGTGCGCTCACCAGAAAGAGACAGACAGAGTCAGAAAATGAGAAGTCACCCCCCAGAGGGGATGGCCACACCAATCCCTTCTCCATTCTCCTCTCGGGATCTTGGGCACACACGCACACATGCCTGGTGAGTTTAAGCCGGGACTTGAGCCGTGGTCGACTATATGGGAGTCCAGCGACATAGCCATTACACCAACTGCTGGTCCTGTAGTCTCTCTCTCTCTCTCTCTCTCTTTTTTTTTAAGTACAAGCTTAGTGTAACTTGAGGTTCTGAAAACGTGAACACATTTAAAGGACACTCCAAATTCTAGTTCCCCGTCAGCATAGCTAAGGAACTCGTTGGGAAGACCAGGCTCTGGTCCTCCGGTCCCCTAAGCCAGTCTTGAGCATCATGGTGAGGACTTTGACCTGAGGGCAATACTCACCTGCCAAGTGTCTTTTGGAGGAGAAAGCCTTTTGTCTTTAGCAAAGGAATTTGCAGAACTTAATTCAAATATTTAAAAAAACAGAATGGACAACATGTTCTCCCAATTACAGTCATTCTCTGGATTATGTCCACAAGGACTGTTACCAGACAAAACTACCAACTTCCAGTACAGGCCGGAGTTGTCACTGCCGGGACGTACTCGAGACTGAGGTGTTTGTTGCCGACACAGCGGAATCTTTTTATAACTGGTGTGGGAGAAGGGGTGGGTGATCTTGCTTTACAGCCAAGAAAAGGTACCAGGCTTGGTCTGGGAAAGCTGTTATGAACTGTACTGTGGTGGCCTGCTGTTCACTACAGGGAAGGCCAAGGTGCCGACAAAGATTGAGAGTAAGCGATAGTCTCGACTTGCTGTTCTAGAGTTCTCCTTTAGACCTGACTGCCATGTTTACATTGGCCCTTTTGGAAGAAAATGTTTCCCTCAGTGAGTCTGACTGTAATGATGGATACACGCACAGCTGAGTGTACATGCGTGTGCATGACTCCCCGTGTTTCCACAATCACGGGCATACTTAACAAAGCGCACTCAGAACTCCCGAGACTTCCTTCCAAGGGGGCCCCACGGGCACGGCAGTGCCTACGCACCGAGGCCCAGCCCCGAGCGGGCGTTTAATGCTTGGCAGCGCACAGTTCTTTTCTGCTGAACTTAACACTCTTGACACACAAGTTTTTGGTAACAAGAAATTATTTATTAGCACTTCGTGAGTTGTTCATTGGTTTCCCCAAAAGCACCACGTTCACAGTGACACAGGCTTTACCGCTGAAGGTCATGTGCATGACAGACCCAGCAGCCACTGCCAGAGAATGTGCTTACTAGACAGAGAGAAAGCGACCTCTGAGAGAGCGGGAGAGGGAAGGAGAAAGAAGGCCCCAGGAGCATGGTCAGGCCCAACCCTTCTCCATTTCCCCACCCTGTCGGGGTTCTGGGCGTGCCCACACACCCTGTGTGGTTTTTAAGCTGCCTGGGCTGGGACTGGAACACTGTCAGCCTTGTGGGATCAGGCTCCTTTCACTCTGGGGTGACGTGGCTGGCCCCATGTCACTCTCAAACGCATGGCCAGGAGGTAGCTTACGGTAGGGCGTGACGGCCCAGTGCTTGTTCCAACCCTGACTACCTCGATGTCTGCTTTGTCACGTGTATTTTGTCCCTAGGAAAGTGAGCTGCTTGGCTGAATGTTTCAAATCCAATGGCTCTTCATCTTTCAGGCCTAGGCGCCTGTTGTCTGCAGATGCAGCAGTGCAGGTGTGGTGGGTATGGCTGGGCAGGGAGCGCTGAGGTACAACAGGACAAGTGCGGGAGCCTCGCCTGCCCCAACAGCTCAGCATCATCAGCCTGGACGTTGCGACAGAGTAGATTCCTTACCTGAACTTGGAAATAGTGGCTCACACAGGCCTTTAAGTCACCCAGACACCTTTAACTGCCTATGGTTCTTCTTGGTTCACATGAAGGGAGAGCGAGTTGGAAAATGCACCTCCGCGTGGAGGCCAGCGTTTCCCAGCGCTGACTGTAGCACTCTGGTCCAGAGCCTCGGTGCCACTTTTTAAAAAATTATTTATTTATTTGTTATAACTTTGTTAAGTTTGCTATAGGACATGTGTGCTCACTAGAGAGAGACAGAGAGGGAGAAAGAGAGAGGAAAAGTAAGAAAGCAAGCTACCAGGTCCAGGACCTGAACCGTGGTTGGCCATGCAGGAGTCCAGCACGTTACCCTCCGTGCCACCTGCTGACCCTGCCGTTTGGTTTTTAATCGGGAAGAGTACTTCCTTCAGAGTACACTGTTCCTACTCTGAGGGGGATTTTCACGGTAAGGAATGCGTGTGCCCTTCTCCAGCCCTTGCCCTGTTCAAATAGGGTACTGCCTGCCGCAAGACCATGCCCAAGCTTGTTCCTGAATCAATGAACAGAAAAGTGGTTCTTTTTATTTTTTTCCTGTTTCCAACCTTCTTTTAAATTTGCTTTCCTGGTGGAAAGTTGTACTAGCTGAGAAAGCTAAAGGCACGACATGCGGGTTTAGGCGCCGCTAGGAAGCCCACTGAAATACGTGCAAGTCCGCATTTTCATTCAAGTATTATTAATGTAGGAACTCCACGTGAGCTACCACCTTACAACAGCATCTCCAAAACGGGGAGGAACAGCCCTGATCAGTGCCTGTCTCCTCTAGGAACTTGGGGTACAGGCCACGGCTCCACCGCGGGACAAGGCAGGCAGCGACTACCGCTTCCAGTGTGGTGCTCTGCTGCAGCACAGCCGCCATTCAGTCGGTGTCCTGGACAAGAAACGGGAACCGCCAGTTAGACGTCTTCACCCACGAGCCACGACCTAGTGCTTGAGAGCTCCAAGGCCCGTCCACAGAAGGGAGCCTGGGTCTGTGCAAAAGCACGCTCCCCGCGGCCCTCTCCCACCCGCACGCTCCCCGCGGCCCTCTCCCACCTCCCCTCGGCCCTCTCCCACCTGCACCTCTCCTCCTTTTTTTTTTTTTTTTTAATTATTTTATTTTAACTTTCTTTTAATTTTACCTGAGAAGGTCAGCAAGAGCAAAAGAGAAAGATGGAAAGTGAGAAAGCATGCCGCCAGGTCCAGGACCCAAACTGTGGTCGGCCTTGTGGGAGTCCAGCGCCCTGAGCCACCAGGCCACTAGCCGGCTCCCCTGCTTTTTGCTACATGAGGCCAACCGCAAAACATGGGCTTCCCAGGTGCTGGCAGCTGGACGCTCACATCTCAGTCACCTTCGTGGGCCAGAGGGGCCGGCACGCCACGGGCCTCGGTGTCTGGGATGAGGTCGACACCGAGTGTGGTGGCCGTCCTGCCTCCCGGCCTTTCAGGGGGTGGTTGGTAAAAGCCATCCAGAGTGTCCCTGGGCTCACCTCCGTGCGAGCAGCTTGGCCACACACTAAGATTTACAGTCACTCTCCCGTTCTTAAAACCCCTGCACAGCCAGGCCACGGCGCAGGAGTGCTCTTCAGGCTTATCAGGAAATAGTAAGAAGTGTGGCGTGGGGCCCTCGGCCACCTCCCCGCTCTCCCCGTCTCCACCACACCACTCCGATCTGGCAAGTGGTGCGACAGCCACACCTGCCGCGACGGAGCGCCCTGAAGCAGATGAGCGCCAAGGCCTGGCGGTGTCCCCACCACGTCACGCTCTCGCTCCCGGGGGCAAAGCGAGCCTGTGCACCGGGGCAGGGGCGTTCGCAGCCCCTGCCTGTGTCCCACCAGGGCAGGGAGGGGAGGCGGCCCTGCTGGATTCTGTCCCTGGGGGCACTGGGAGGGCCTGCCGCAGGGACGAGGGCTGGGGCCGAGCAGCGGGCGTCTGGCCTTACGTGTCTGGCCAGGCTCCTCACGTAGGCGAGCAGGTTCTGGCTAATGAAGCTCACTGCCGTGTGGAAGGCCCCGCGGAGCAAGGCTGGCGTGTGGTCGGCCACCTTCTTGGCCAGCAGCATGGTCAGCACCAGCATGGCCTTCTCCGTCTCCAGGTCTCGGGGGCACGTCAGCATTGCTTGCTGCAGGGCGGAGGCCAGGGACTGCCTTCTGTCCTGGATGGTGAGGAGACAGGTCACAGTGACCCCGTGGCGGACGCTCGTCCTGCTCACGGGAAATGTCCCCGGGCACAGGCTGCGGCGGCGTTTTGGAAGGGAGCCGGCTGGTGAGGAGGAGCAACTGCTTCCTGAGGCAAAGGAGGACGCTTGTCCTCCGGGCTGGGTGCTCCCGACCCAACACGCGTGTCCCGACATTCGAGCGTCACACCCCAGTGAACTGAGGGGCCCAGGTCGCCCTGTGACTGAGACCTTTCGGGCCCATCTCACTGGCATGGCCTGTGGGGGGCGATTGCTGTTGTCCCCTCGTGGCGGGAGAGGCAGGCCACAGTCCGTCGCGGGCCGGGACATGGCTCAGACGCGGGCACAACCTTAACACTGGGGAGGGCCCCCAGGGGAGCACCCGAGGGCGGGCGTGTCCTGTGAGACGTGGCCACGCGAGGAGGGGAGAGCGGTGGTGACGGCCCGGCCGTTCTGGGTGGTGGCAGCTGATGCTCCCACAGCCTGGGCCTGGTCCCCCCACTCCCTCTCCAGCAAGGACATGGTGCCCGGGCTGAGCCAGCATGCCTCGGCACACTGACCAAGCAGAGCCCAGAGGAGCAGGCCATGAGGTCACCTTTAAGTGACTCGGAGTTCCCTAGCGGGATGTTTGTCACGCTCCTGAAAACTGAGAAGGAATCTGTAGGAGGGTCAGGCCCGCCGTCACGAGGCGGCGGCCACCGCGTGCTGCTGGAAGACCACAGTCCGGCCCTGACCGGGCCCAGCCGG